AAGGAGGAACAGATTAATCATCTATACAGTACTTTAATTTTTGAATAACTGATACAAAAGAGCTTTGAGATTTTAATCTCTCAACAGTTGTTAATTTAAGGCATTAATAAATAATACAATTTCTGCCATAGGTAACTTGAAGAAGTAAAACATGTAGCATTAGTTTAATAACAAAGAAATCTGTAATCCTAGTACTTGAAAGGTGGAGTCTAAAAGACAGAAGTTCAAGGAAAGCATCAAGGCCTAGGTTACTTGAGATCATGTCTAAAAAAAAAAAAAAAAGGAGGATGTAGCTTCATTGGTAGAGTAGCTGCCCGGTATTTGAATGCCCTGGATTTGATCCCCAGCACTGTACAAAGCCCTATTATAGTGGAACCTGTAATTTCAACACTTGTTCAAAGGCTAGCCTAGGCTACAGAACAACTTAGAGGTCTGCTCTAAGATGAGATCCTGTCTCAAAAACAAAAAACAAAAAAACATGATAGTTAATCTTCCTTAAACTAATGTTCTTTGGAATAATTCTTTAAGCAAAAATACTATGTTGGTTTTCAGCATTGTTTCTCATTCTGTGGGGCCACATATTAGATATCCTGCATGCCAGATATTTACATTATGATTCATAATTGTAGAAAAATTACAGTTATGAAGTAGCAAAAAAAAAATAATGTTATGGTTGGGGGGTCAGCACAACATGAGGAACTGTGTTAAAGGATCACAGCATTAGGAAGTTTGAGAACCACTGATTTACAGAAGGGAAAGTTATTTCAAACTGGGGGAATGTATATAAATCAGACTATAAATTCTGAAACTTGGTTTTTAGTGAGGCTTGTTATCAATGAAGAGTTTCTTTTTAGTTTGGGTTTTTTTTTTTTTTTTTTTTTTTTTTTTTTTTTTGAGACAGGGTTTCTCTGTGTAGCCCTGGCTCTCTTGGAACTCAACTCTGTAGACCTGGCTGGCCTGAAACTCATATCCACCTACCTCTGTGATGGAATTAAAGGAGTACACCACCACCACCCAGCTCAATGAAGAGTTTATATAAGAGGAAAACTAAATATAAATGCATGATATTATATAACAATACTTAGGTAATTCAATAACTAATTTTGTATTCCTTTGTATTTCATAATTTCATAGATATACTCATTGTTTTAATGAAATATGTAACTTGCTTTGAATGCCCCTACTGTGTTTTTTATACTCCTTCAAAAAAGTTAACAGCTACTCTTAATGGTGTCATTCTATATCAATTTTCCACAAAAATGGATGGGGTGGAATTTATTTAAAAAGTAGTGGGGTGGGATTTATTTGACATTATAGTTCAACCACATAAATTCCTTAAGCTGCCACTGAAAAAAAATCATGTTAAATTTAACAGAATTGAAAAGAAATATACATTCTTTTAAATAGTTTTACAAGAATACAAGATATAGCTGGGCAGTAGTGACATATACCTTTAATTCCAGCACTCAGGAGGCAGAGGCAAGCGAATCTCTATGAGTTCAAGGCCAGCCTGGTCTACAATGTGAGTTCCAGGATAGCCAGGGCTGTTAACACAGAGAAACCCTATCTGGGAAAACAAAAACAAACAAACAAGGTATGAATACTTAAAATTGAGATGTAAAGTTTACATATATGATGATTTATAAATTGTGAAATATTCATTGCTTATCTTTTTAGTAATTATTATGAACTTGGTTGAATTAAAATCAAGTTTCTCCCACAGTTGGTTTTTTTTTTGTTTGTTTGTGTTGAGCCTGTTTTCTGTAATTGAATAAGCAAATGAGTGATAGATTTAGAACAAGAGGTCTGAATAAAATTAAAGGTAGTGATAATTTATTGAGTAACTCAAAGTAGAAACCACATAGCACAAGTGATTGTGTGTGTGTGTGCGCACACACATGTTTATGCATAGGGGTGTGTATATGTTCAAGTATGCATGTGTGCACCAGAGATTAACCTTGGGTTGAAGGTGGACTTTTCTTTCCTGTCCGTCTGTTCCTAAATAACTGGCATGAAGACTTAATATAAATTATAAATTCTTGGCCAATAGCTCAGGCTTATTACTGATTAGCTTTTACAACTTCTATTAATCCAAATTTCTTATCTAAGTTCTACCAAGTACCTCGTGGTTTGTTACCTCATTTTGTACATGTCTTGCTTCCTACTGGCTGCTTACTACTGAGACTCTGCCCTTCTTCCCAGGGAACTCCTAGTCTGGTCCTTCCACCCAGTCTCTTCCTGCCCAGCTATAGGCCTGTCATGTCTTTATTAGCCAATGAGAATAACACATATTACAATGTACAAAGATTGTTCCACAGCACTGAGTGTTAATTAACCTTGGTTCTCCAGGAGTTGTCACTTTGTTTTTTGAGACAGGGTATTCACCGGTACCTAGTACTCAACCATTAGGCTAAGCTGCCTAGCCAATGAACACCAAGATTCCTCCTGTCTCCTCCTACTCCACATTGGGCTTACAGGTATAGGCTACCATGCCTGACTTTTTTATGTGGATGCTGGAGATTGAATTTAGGATCTTGTCCTTGAATGGCAAGCACTTTTCTGACTGTCTCCCCAGCCCCTAGCCACCCGTGATTAATTACCAAACTACTGCCAGTTTTGTTTTTTTAAAATGATATTTTTATTCTTACAATAGCCATATTTGAGGCATACCCACATTGTTTCTTCATATGGCAGTAGTATATACTTATCTATGGATTCATTTTCCTTAGTTCATTGTTATTAACTATAGTATAAAATATTAAAAAGAAAATTCAATAAATAAAAACCTTTAAGTAACTCATCATAGTAGTTTGTCACAATTGCTCTATTTTTTACTGGTAATCTCTTATATGTATGCATTTATAGGAGAAAATCATATATATGTGTAAATGTAAGTAATTTTTAAATTGATAATTTTCTCGCTTTTCTTCAGTCTACTACCGTCAGAATTCTTATTCTAGACTACTAATCTGATGTTGTGATTCCCCTGAATAAAAGCATTGATTCCTTTCCACATATAGAATGAAACCCATATTACTGAATGTGTTTGGATTTTCTGTACTCTTTCTAAGAGTGGAATTGTACTCAGCTTCCATTAGTGATTAATGCACCTTGTATAGACAATTACTTCCCTTTTTTCTAGAATGTCTTTTCACTCTTATTTTGTTATATTTTCCCCTCTTAAACTGTTAGATTCCTCTTTTGTTCTTATTATAATTTTCCTCAGAATTTTGTTAGTACTCTCCTCCCCTTTTTGTGTTCTAATAATTGTGATGTCTGTCTCACTGTTGAATATAAGGTCCTTTAGAGTAGCAGTTGTGATGATGATGATGTGATAGTGATGTCACTGTCTTCAAGACAGCATCTGAAGTAATAGTAGTACCATTTATTGACTACTGCTTGTCTGTGTGGCACTTGGTAAGGATTTAACACATATTTTACAGAGTATATTAACAATAAGATATAATTAACTGGCATCTTGCCAGAATCTTGCTGGGTCTTTGTTTTGAGACTAGCACTTAAGAGACAGAAGCAGCCTCCTACAAGTTCATGGTCAGTTGGATCTACACAGTAAATTCTAGAAGGAAAAGGCTGGGTGATTCAGCCTTGTCTCACTGTATTTAAAAGATCCATTGTTTCACCATATCTTAAGATTGTTTGCATTCTAACAGGATAAAACTTAGTGAAATGGAATTGTGATTTGGGGAATTTATACTCTTAAAATAAAATACATAGCTACGTACCCTAGCTTGTAAACATAGTTGGTTTTTTTTTTTTTTTTGAACTTGGCTAATAAAAAGGGTGAAGATGCATATTTTTTAAAGCTTTATTGATATTCAATTAATTAATTGTAAGGTAATAATTATATATAAACTTTTTTGATTTTTAGTTTTAAGACAAGATTTCTTTATGACCAAGACTGATTAATGATTGTTATTCTCTATTTAAATCTGAACTTCATATTAGGACCCTGAAGATGGACTTTGGAGGTAGTCACTTGATCTTTTTGTCTCCTCTGACTGGCCTGGAACTCACTATATAGATCATGCTGGTCTTGAACTCACAGACATCAGCCTGTCTTTGCTTTTGAGATAGCTAATATTAAAGTCCTGGCCCACCACACCTGGGAATAAATAAATAAATGTGTTTGTGTATGTACATATACAAACATACACACATATATATGTATGTACCTTAACACAATAAAAATAAACATAAACATGTCCACCATCCTCCAAACTTTCTCATCTACTGGCTTTAAACAAATAGTCATCACCTTTATTTAATTATAGATTGGCTTATGTATTCTAGAGTTTCATATAAATGGATCTTATAGTATGTGCTGTTTTAGATTAGCTTCTTACACTATATACACTTACTTGATAGTTGTATGTATCAGATTTTACCCTGAGGGTGCATATTTTGAATTACACTTGTTATGGAAGGTAAATTATTTTATTTTATCCACATTATATGTTACATTTTGGAGGAGATTCAGATGGAACTGATGTGAAAATTTAGTTGAGCTTGTTTTAGTACAATGTGTACCAATCCTTTGGTATTCCAGACTTATGTATACAAGGATTTAAGTATATTCAATTTTTAATGAATATCTTATTATGAACTTAGAGTCTAGTTTAAAATAAAGCAGTGAAGTATATTTTACTCAGTTTTGGAGTATAATGTACTTCTGGGTATGATTTTTTTCACCTTTCTTGGGAAATGTTGGGAGAAAACCCTTCTAATTGGCTTCATGTGGTTATCTCAGAACTTAATACTGTAGTTAGCTATAGCTATTAAGCAAAGGCACTAATCAGTTGTGTACTAATACTACATAGGAGTTCAGTTTGTATGAGGGAAAAGGTATCTTCCTTATCTAGTGTTTGATGACTACATTTGAACTTTGCTTTGGTGTGTTGTTTTTTTTAAAAACCCAAGCCATTAAAATCCATTATATTGCTATTCTAATCTCATTGCCCTATCCCTTTTAAAATTTTCAGGTGGATATAATCCCTATGTAGAAATAATTGAACAGCCAAGACAGAGAGGAATGCGGTTTAGATACAAATGTGAAGGGCGTTCAGCAGGCAGCATTCCTGGGGAGCACAGCGCAGACAACAATCGAACATATCCGTCCATCCAGGTAACAGGCCTGTCTTCAGGGTCTCACTTTTAGTGGTTCATATTTCACTATGGCAGTTCCATTAAAGGCTCAGTCTCTTTTTTGTTTTGAGACAGGGTTTCTCTGTGTGGTCCTGACTGTCCTGGAACTCATTCTGTAAACCAGGTTGGCCTCAAATTCAAGAGATTGACTTGCTTCTGCCTCTTAAGGCTGGGATTAAAGGGGTGCACCACCACCGCCTAGTGGAAGGCTCAGTTTCTTCCACAGTCTTTTGCTCCCCTCCCTTTTTTTTTTTGTTTTTTGTTTTTTGTTTTTTCTTTTCTTTGAACTTGCTTTGAATTACCCAGATGTGTAGGGAGATCTAAAAATGTAGAATCTTTCCTGCTATAGTTGATGTATTATTGTGACTGCAGTGATTCACAGTGCTTACTGTACACTGACAGCCTTGGGTCTGATCACTTTTGTAAACAAAGCTTTTAGTGAGTAGAAAAACATTCTCTGTATAGTGGTGAGGAGTAATTATTGTATATGTTAAACAAGGATTTGGAAACTCTAATTTTTTTTCCAATCTTTCAGTCCCCCCTCCTTTTTCCTTACCTGTATTGCATATCTCCAATACTCTTACTGATGTCATCTAAATTATCAATGTTTTCTCTGTGTGTCTAAGGTGTGTGTATGTAAGGGGTGAGGCGCTCTTGTACGTCAATGCCCATGTGGACGTCAGGACAGCTGTAGGTGGGTTGAGGCTTTCCTTCCACCTTTCTGAGGCAGGGTGTCTCTGTTGTTTTGTCATTTCATATGCCAGGCTGCCTTGTCCACTAGCTTCCAGAGTCCTCCTGTTTCTGCTTCCCATCTCCTGATAGCAGAATTGGTATCACATGTGCTCAAACTACTGGTCTTTCTACATCGTTTTTGACAGACAGTATTAGGGACTGAACCTAGACTCTTAGGAACGCTAAGATACCACTTGAGATATATCCCTAGCCTGTGAAAGTAGTTTTTGATTGAAAATGAATTTGGCAAATGTACCATATTTATAATGTATGTTTATGTCATATGTATAATTTGCTTTTTAATTTTTATAATTTATTTGTTCATGTTTGGTGTTTTGAAACAAAATTTTACTAGACTAGGCTAACCCCAAACTTGTAGTGATATTCCCTCTTACCTCTGCTTCCTTTATACTGGGACTATAGGCATGTGCAATCATGCCTGGCTGATTTTTATCATTTAAATGCCAATTAAAACGCTTAATAGTGAGTTGGTATGATAGCACATGCCAGTTATCCAAGCATTTGGGAGGTAAAGACAGGCAGATCTTGAGCTTGAGAACTGCCTGGACTACATAAAAAGTTCCAGGCCAATCTGGATTTTAAAGCAAGACCTTGTCTCAACAAATAAATGAAAACAAAGTAAAAAATTAGTCAGGGGGGGCATACAGTGGTGGCTCACACCTTTAATCCCAGTACTTGGGAGGAAGAGGCAGGTGAATCTCAGTGAGACTGAGATCAAGACTGGTCTACAGAGTGAGTTACAGGACAGCCAGTACGGTTACACAGAGAAACCCTGTCTCAAAAAAATGAAAAACAACAACAAAAACTAGTCTGAGCAGTATTACCCACTGAAATCTCATCTAGCTGGCAGGCTGTGGTAGAAGGATTATTTGGGTACAGAAACCAGTGTGGAATGTGAAAAATGGTTCTTTATCTTTCATCATTAGATCTGAAATTACTGCTTTGTAACTAGCAAACTTTATTTTATTGAACCTAAGGAGAATCTAAAGTTAAAACTTAAGTCAATTACTAAGTTATATATTTATTTCCAAATTTCTCTTTTTGTTTTAACTGATATATAGATGCTCAAATTATACATGTTAATGGGATGTCATGTAATGTTTGATACATATATACATCATGCAATTCTTAAATCAGTTAAACATACTTAGCTCCTCAAACATTTATCATTACTATGGAAACATTCAAACTCCTCCTAGATATTTGAGATATACAGTATATTTGTACTGTCACCTAGAGTTTTTTGTCCCATCTACTGTAAAAATTGAATTTTTAAAAAGATTTTATTTTTATACATGTATGTGTATATCTGTAAAAATGCACATTCAGGGGTGGGGGCCCACACAGGCCAGAAGAGGGTATTGGGTCCCCTGAAGCTGAAGTTGTGAACTGCCTGATATGAATGCTGAGATCTGAACTCTGGTCCTATGGAAGGCCATGAAGTGCTCTTCGTTGTCAGTTTATCATTCCAGCCCCATAACTTCATGCTTTTAAGTCACACTTTTTGGCAACAGTATCGATTAGGGTTTTCTAAGTTAAGTATTCAAATGGAAGACATACATTGAAAAGTTAATTTAAAAATTCTATTCTTCCAATCTTGTGAGTCAATTTATCTCCTCCTTTAAAAAATGTTTCTAAATTTTATTTATAAATTTATACAAAGCATTGCAGACCAATGTGCCTTGACCCTCATGCCTTGCTCCTCTTCTCTCTAGTTACCCTGGGAGTAGTGCAGGCATTTCCGAGCTCTGTCTTGCTATTGGCATCCATATACAACCAGAATCACAGCTAGTCCTGAAGACTGCTCTCCTCCAGACATTTTTTGATGAGACAGTTCCAATGTCTTTTGGAAGAAGGTTCCTTGGAGGAGACAGTGATCTTGCTGCTGCTCCTTTTGAAGATCACAACACTCCACCAAGATTCCCAGCTTTTCCCCTCATCTTCAATCTCTCTGAGGGACTGCTGGAAACTAGTAGCATCAGCCATGTGCAGTCAAGGGTGAATTTCAAAACCTGATTTTCTCACAAGCTTTTTCCATTGGCTGTGTGTCCTCAGAGGACTGTTTTTGTTGTTGTTGTTGTTTTTTAACTTTTGAACAGTTTTAGACTTTCTCCCTCTACCCCACCCGTGTGTGTGTGTGTGTGTGTGTGTGTGTGTGTGTGCGTGTGCACGCACGCACAAGTAGAGGGCAGAGGGCAACTTGCAGGGCAGTTCTCTCTGTGTACTTCTTGGAGGCAGTACCATCTCAGCAGCCCTTAATTCTTCTTAAATCGTATTAATTTATGCATCAAAATTATATGTATGACTTGTATCCTTTCTGATCCAACAGGTCCTAAACACTTTACAGCTTGGATTCTTTTGCTAGCAGTCTATTTTGTAGTCTTTATCTCTCTTTCATCTAGAAAGATAGTAAATATTTGATTACTATTTGATTTAAAAAAGAGGGAAGTAGCAGTGGGTAGATATGATCAGTATACATTGTATAAATACATATGTAACTTTCAAAGAATAAAATACAAAACATCTAGGTGCAGTGTGCATGTCTTATCTCAGAATTTAGGAGGCAGAGGCAGGTGGGTCTTATTTGTTTGCTATTATTTCCAGTGTGGCCTAAATATGTTTTTTTTTTCAAAGCATACTTATGGTATGACACTGTAACTAAGAGCAAAACACTTGAAAGCCTAACTTCTAAGTATTTCCTTGTGCTCTGTGATTAAAATAGAGTGTATCAATTTCCCAAGCAATGTTGACACACACATTTAATCCCAGCATTCAGGAGGCAGAGGCAGGCAGATCTCTGAGTTGGAGGCCAGCCTGTCTACAGAGTAATTTCCAGGGTTACACAGAGAAACCTTGTCTAGAAAAAATAAATAAATAAATGTATCAACTTTATGTGTTTAGTATTTTTAGACAGGATCTCATATAGCTCAAGTGAACCTCAAACTCACCATGTAGCTGAGGAGGACTCTGAACTTCTGAAAATTGCTGCCTCTATCCTTGAGTATGGTTAATATGGTACTGGAAATCAAACCCAGGGCCTTGTGCATGATAGGCAAGCATTCTGCCCACTGAGCTACATCCTTAGCCTGTTTTGCATTTGAGTTTTTGAGACAGGTTTCTCTGTGTAGCCCTGGCTGTTCTGGAACTTGCTCTGTAGACCAAGTTAGCCTTGAATTTACAGAGATCTGCCTGCCTCTGACTCCAATTGCTGGGGAATAAAGCACACCACAATGCCTAGCATGCTTACTTGTTTTAAAAGGAAAATAAATAAGCAGATGATAAAGCTAGATGAAATTGGGGGGCGTGCATTTCAGGAGTTCAGAGATTAAGTTTTTCTCTGAGAACTTTAATTTCAAGTAAGCTGTTGAATATTTGAACTTTAGTCAGTGCCAACTTCATTATATAAATTGAACTTGAATTTAGTGGATAAGTTCTTTATATTTGTTTGCTTTTAAAACAGGGTATTATTGTATGTAGTCCTGACTGGCATTGAACTTGTACCAATCCTGTTTTAACCTTCCAAATGCTGGGACTACAGGTATATGTCACAATACCCATGTAGTAGATCTGTTCTTAACAAGATATATTTATGGATTGCATACTTAATTTCCCCTTTCAGGTTATGAACTATTATGGAAAAGGAAAAGTGAGAATTACATTAGTAACAAAAAATGACCCATATAAACCTCATCCTCATGATTTAGTTGGAAAAGACTGCAGAGATGGCTACTATGAAGCAGAATTTGGACCAGAGCGCAGACCTCTGTTGTAAGTATACAGTCACAGAAATCTTTGGCAATAGAACAAAGAAATAATTTTAGTTTTTAGCAAAATTAATTTCATATTTAATTTACTATATGTATTTAAATTTTTAATTTTGTTTTTCATCTGTTAGGGACACACATGTGCCTAACACATGTTAGGGGTGCGTGTGGAGGTCTGAGTTGGTTTTTTCCTCCACCATGTGGACTCTCAGGATTGAACTTGGGTCACTAGGTGTGACTGTAAAGATTCAGGCATTATGCTGGCCTGCCCCTGTCACAAAAATGCATACAGGCCCTACCCTGTCAGCCCAGCGTTCCATGGTTGTGTAGTCTGCACACAGGTGCTAAGGACTATTTAAAAGAAAGACCCTGCCCACTTGTACTCTCTTTGCTGCTCTCTTTCCCTCTCTTTTCTCTGCTGTAGCCCTGTGTCTCCCTTCTGTCTTCTGTCCTCTCTCTGTGTCTCTTTACCTCCTTTCTCTATCCCCCCCCCTTTCCCTTTCTAGTAAAATTTCTCATTAAGCTCTGTCTGCCAGGCATGTTTGTCCCTCCACCTTGGTCACCCTTGCCTGCCATGTAATCTGCCAAGGTCCTTCACTCAAGATCCCCCTCAACCTTTATCATAACAGTGATGGCAGATGCCTTTACCGCCTGAACCATCTCAGCAACCTGATGTTTACATTTTTGTTTTTTTACTATTGGCTTTAGAGCTGTTCTTTCCTTTTTTATTAATAGCACCACATATGATAGTCCGTAGAAGTACTTCCTTAATAATTGGAGATTTAGATAGCTCATGTAGCCTAAGCTGGATTCAAACTTGCTATGTAAAGTGAGTTTGAACTTATCTTCATGCCTCCACCTCCCAAATCCTGAGACTGCAGGTAACACCACCATGTCTGGTTCAGCAGGAGTACTTGTTTTTTGTTTTTGTTTTTGTTTTAAATATATGCTCTTATTTTTTCTTAAGACAGGGTTTATATAGGCCTGAGTGGCCTTTCAGAGGACCCAGATAATGAGAGTACAGGTATGAGGTTATATCCATAAGGCACCACCTTAGTTTATGCAGACAGAACTCAAGACAGATTACATCATGTTAGGTCATGTTAGGCCAGCAATCTGACAGATGAGCTATGTCTACCACTTCTTATCTTCTAAGTTTGGGCTGTTTTGAGACAGAATTTCACTGTGTTGCTCAGCCTAGCTTCCAACTTGTAGTGATCCTCCTGTCTCAGCCTCCAATTTACTGGGATTATAAGTAAGCATGCATTACCCTATATGGATAGGAGTACTTCTTTATAATTATTGAAAGTAAAGAAAACACATTTTATGTTATGATTTATCTCTCCATCTATGAAAAATTTTGAGGCCAGACTGGAGTACACAGCAAGACATTGTCTCAAAAAAGTTTCTCTTACTAATAGTAATAACACAAAACACAAAAAGCCCTACAAATGCACATTTGACAAGAAGTATTACTTCCTGCATTACTTGAACTTCCACCAGTGTTTTAAACTCTCAAGCACTCATGTCTTAAAATACTCTTCTTGATTTCTGTGAAGATAAACTTGTTTTAATTCATAGTTTTCTGGCCATTCTTCCATATGGCCCCTGTGTTTTCATCTCTGTCACCTCTTTTTTTTTTTTTTTTTCAAGACAGGATTTCACTGTGTAGCCCTGGCTGCCCTTGAACTCGGAGATCCACTTGCTTCTGCCTCTTGAGTACTGGGACCAAAGGTGTGATTCTCTAACCTTACATTGCAGTAAGAAGAGTATCCTTTAGTTTCCTCTGCTGTTTCATAGGGCTGTTTCATCTTTTCCTTCCATCTTCCTAATTCAGTTCATATTATCACTCCCTACAGGAAGCCTGCCTACCCACCTTGAATTGATCCAATTATATGCTCCTTCCCATAAAGTATGTTTACCTTCATAAAGGTTGTTATGATTCAAGTGAGTGTTTTTGCCTATGATTATTTGGAGCTAGCAGGTTTTCCTGTAAATGGCCAGTAGTATCGTAGGCTTTATAAGCCTTTTGGACTCTGTGTCCTACTTAACTCCGCTGTTGCTGCGGGAAAGTGGCCACAAATAATATGTGAGTGTATGGACGTGTTTGTGTTTTAATGCAAACTTTATTTGCAAGAAGAGCAGTATGCTGAATTTGGCCCATGAATTAGAGTTTGCCAATCCCCATTCCAGACATTGAGGTTCCATGTAGGGAGAAATTGTATATCTCTATTCCTTTCTAGAATTTTAATGCACAGTTGGAATTCCAAAATGTGTATGATTATGAATAAATAAATGGGAGAATGAACCAAATAGCCTAATGCTTCTTGGTTTCCTTAAGTCAGATTTTTTTCCCTCATTCCCTTCTTTTCTCTTTCTTCTAGTGTTGAGTGTCATGAGTGCTGGACAAGTACTATACTACTGAGTTAATGATATCCTTGCTCTTGGAATTTTGAAATTCCCCATTACTTTTAATATTCTATGCATAACAGATGGGGCTATTCAGATGAAACAAAACTAAGTAGTGTATATTAGGTTAAGAAGTCTTTAAAACCTTTTATTAGAGAAAAACTAAAAACCACACTAAGGATCTTTCAAGAAAGAACTATTCTGTTAAAGGATTTCAAGTAAGGATTAAGAATTCATAACATATTTATTTTTGTTATTGGAGGTGGAGGAAGGAAATGGCAAAGTTATTTAGGTGCTTATAAAGTCACAGGTGTGAGTGTCAAGCATGAAGCATGAACATAAAGGCAGCATGAATGTGGAGTAAGGTGACCCAGGCAGCCTCTGGCTGCAAGTGCCAAATGAAATGTGAAGAAATAGTGATGTTCTTATCACTGAGTTTTGCTTCCTTATTCACACCCACCCATCTCGAATGATGTCATGGATTTTCCATGTGGGAACAAGTATGACTGGGTGGTGGTAGGGGAGTTCCCCCCACCATCATCTGTATTACACATATGCAAATGAATAATATTTGTAGCTATTGAGAAGTTTTCCATAAATGACCTTTTGAAACTTGCTAAGTATTGTTAGTATTAAACCTCTCTAATTAAAAATTACTTTGCTCCTTTCATTGTAATCCTATAACATGGCATAAAGTGTATTTTATAATCTATGAAAAACTGGAGGCCAGCCTAGAGTACACAGCAAGACAGTATAGCTGCTCACTGGGATTTGATGTATTTGATGATACACTTTTCAGTGATGAGCTAGGGAGGCAGCATAAATGAACAGAGGAATCAAGTATAAGGCTAACCAGGTCCTTCATCAAAGTGGAGAAACTACATAAATGAGGCCACAGGTGTCTCTGTGCCCAAGTGCTGTCAACCTCTAAAATGTTCATGAAGCCAGGAGTACCGATGTTCATCTTTAATTACTTGACTTTTAAGTTCCTTAATGTATACAGATTTTTAAGTGTAGTTACCATTCCTATACAGTTTTTTTTTAAAAAAAAATATAGGTTAACATTGCTATAGGAGCAAGACATACTGTCTTTGCACCTCTTGATACACAAATTTTAGTTAATTGAGCATGAATTTGTTTGGAAGGTGAAATTTTGCTTTTTGGTGGTTTTTGTTTTTTAATGTTTATCTACTTGGTATACTTGACTAAGCATATTGGTAATATATAATTATAAAATAGTGTATTTGAAAGTGATATGGTACTGTATATACTTTTTTTGGGTTTGGTCTTTTGAAACAGGGTTTTCCATAGTCTCAAACTTGCTCAGTAACTGAGGATGGTCTACTTGCTCCCATCTCCCTAGTGCTGGAATTAAAGGCATGTGCCACCATGTGCTCTATTTTTCTATTGACAATTCTCTTAGACATTCCTACATTTTATTACTCTTATATCTATCACAATTAGAGTAGGATTCGTGATCTAATGGCTGGATTTCACAGGAAGGTGACTTCCCAGTGTTGAATATGTTTGATTTCTGTCATATTTTTGTTTAATTATGATATGATTTTGAAAGTTTCATTTTTTTGCTTTTAGTTTTCAAAATTTGGGTATTCGGTGTGTAAAGAAAAAAGAAGTGAAAGAAGCTGTTATTTTAAGAATAAGTGCAGGAATCAATCCTTTCAATGGTAAGTATTTTGTTATAATTTCTCCTATAATTTGGATATTAATGGACTGTGATTTCTATTTGTAATTCTACTTGTTGACCTATATGTGTTCCTGAGGAATCAAGTGTATTTAAGTAGACAGGTGCCTTTGTTTTCTTTGAGGAAGCCTCCCCTTCTCCTTTCTTAATGATTATTTTGACATAAAAGTCTTCCTTTGTATCTCTGACTGGTCTGTTGCTACATATCGCAGACCGACCTTGAACTCCCAGCAATCTTTCCTTATCCTCCTCCCAAGTGCTTGGATTGTAGGTGTGAGCCACCATGTCTGGTAAAATAAACAAATGAAAAACTAAATCCTTTTCCAGGTGTTTTGATTGTTTTTGAATATGATTTTTCCTTGTGCTACTCATCCAACAAACAGTATTCACTTTTCTTTCTGAGTGCTGAATATGCACCATGTTGTAATATACTTTCCTCCCTCACCCCCACAGTTGTTTTTTTTAAATAGAAATCTCACATAGCCCACTTGAACTGCTGTTTTATTGAAGCTGGTCTTGTCCCTGCCTCTGCCTCCCAAGTTCTGCCATTACAGACAGGCGTGCAACACCATACCTGGCCATTCAAAATATGTTTTTAGACTTGTTTAGGTCTTGTATGTATATGAACCACATGTGTACCTGGTACCCTTGAAGGTCAGAAGAGGGCATCAGAACCCCTGGAACTTGAGTTACAGATGGTGATGAGTCACCATGTGGGTTCTTGGAATCAAATCCATGTCCTGTAGAAGAGCAACAAAAGTGCTCTTAAACACTGAGGCCTCTCTCTAGCCCTTCAGAATTTTTTGTAGTATGTTTTTGTATTGGCAAAATATGTCTTGCTATTTAGTACATTCTATTGGTAATAGCACTTACCAATCATTTTACTTTTATTGTTTTGGGGAACAGGGTCTTATCATATAATACAGGCTGACTTCAGATTGCATATCCTCCTCTTACCATGCCCAGTTTAAGCATTTGGTTTTTGTTTGTTTGTTTTTTTTTTAAGACAGGGCCTAATGTATTTTGGACAGGCCTCAAACTCACTGTATAGCCAAGAGTGACTCGAATTTTCTGATCCTCCTGTTTCCACCTCCCAGTACTGGGATCATTATCACACTTGGTTATGCACTGCTGGGGATTGAACTCAAGGTTTCTTTGAGTGCTAAACAAGCACTCTGCCAACTGAGCTGCTTCCCTGACCCCTAAACATTTCTTCTTTACCACACTATCTGGGTATGGCATCTGGTATCTTTTAGCATCCTTTATTGCTAAATAGATAAATGGTTGCTGAAGTGGATGCAGTTATCCTTACTTTAAAATGTCTTTATTCTAAAGTCCTGTGTAGCTACTTAAATAGTTTTGTTGATCTAGGCATGGTAGAGCACACATGTAATTCAAGCTACTTGAGATTGCATCCTCAAACTCACTATGTAGCCAAGGATAACCTTGAATCTATCTGTGCCTTTAGTCACCCTTTAATTGAGGAAATTTAATAAATGCCCATTATAATTAAATGTCAATGTTTAATGAAAATTCAAAGATGCGACAGACACACCCATTCTGAGCTCATAGGACTTTGCCTAATAGGACAGAAGCGGTACATATTAATGGTGATCATGTAAGATAAAACCTAAGTACAGATATAGTGCTGCTCTGACATAGAGAGAAGAGGGTTTTCTTCCAGTCCAGAACAAGGCTTAGACTTTGTAGAAAAGGAGTTCAGGGCTGTAAGTACTCACTGAATAAGCATGAAGCCCCAAGTTTACTCCCCAGTACCCATTTAAAAAAAGCTAGGCATTCCCACACTGGGGAGGTGGCCACAGGGGCATTTCTATGGTAGGAAGTTCAGTGAAGGACCCCATCTCAAAAAATAAAGTGAAGACAAATAAGTAAGACACATAGTATTGGTCTCTGTCCTCCACATGTATGCTTTTTACACACACCTGTGTATACAAATAAAGTAGTTATTAGTTGAGTTTTCAGCCTTCACTCTGTATCCAGATATCACCTATGATTCCTGGCTGTCAGTAGTTTTTAATCATGTTGTGCCAGAGATGGGAAACATGGTTAAAAACCATATAGTATTATGTAACTGTTCTGCAATCTAAAAATAACTTTTTCTTAAATGTAGGTATGAGGTTAGAGGACTGCCTCAGATGTTTCTCCTTAGGCATGTCTTCTCTGAAGCAGGGTTCTCACTGCTTAGAACCTGACAAGTCTGCTGGGTTCATTGTCAGCCTTCCAGCACTGGTATTACAAGCCTCATTACTGAACCTGGCTTTTTGACATGGGTTTGGGAGTTGAACTCAGGATCTTGTGCTTGCAAGGCAGGCACTTTACCAACAGCCACACTTTGATCTTTCTAGTTGTACAGGAATGCTTTTATAGACTCAAATGTTAGGCTTAAGAATGCTGGTACTGAGCTGGGCATTGGTGGTGCACACCTTTAGTCCCAGCACTCAGGAGGCAGAGGCAGGCAAATCTCTGTGAGTTCAAGGCCAGCCTGGTCTACAGAGCTAGCTCCAGGACAGCCTCCAAAATAATACAGAGAAACCCTGTCTCGAAAAACCAAGGGGGGGGGGGAAGAATGATGGTACTAGAATAAATTTCAATGTCAGGGTAACTCCTGAGACTGATTGACTGCCATTGTGTAACATATGTTTTTTTTACTGGTTGTTTTTTGTAAGACTGGGCAATTTGGTTGTTTTTCACATTTAGTATTTTAATTTTAATACCATCTACTTCCCAAGTAAATTTTTCATGTAACTTAACAAATTTAATGCTATTTTAAAATATGGCAGATATTAGTAAACAATTTATTACTATAGGCCTATATCATTTCAAAGGCAGCAATATTTTGTCTTAGAAATGGGTTTCTTTTCAAAAATCCGTGTAAATAAAGTCTTCTTTTACTGTATTCTGTGACAATTTTTTATCTTTTTCAGAACTATAAAAATGCCCACTGTACAGTTTGTTGTTTTCAAGCAAACTTGACTCTTAAGTAAGCTTAAGCCATCTGGTGTCTGCCTCACATTTTACCTCTAAAGTGTTGGTGCAGTTAGTATGGCCTTTGTCTCAAATGTCCTTTCTACTGTTTAGCTGTGAAACTTGGGACAAATAATTGGGACACATTTCCTTTAAAATCAATGTCTTACCTGTGAAAACAGGAATGGCAGTGATTCTCGCTAGATTTAGAAAGTAATTACAGACTGGGCCAAATACTGTATTAAATGAGCAGAGCCTATTTCCTGTTGTCTATAACTTGGACCCAGAATTAAGATTTTTGACTTGTGGTTGTTTGTGGATCTGCTCATAAGTTTCAGGTTCTTGGCATAGTTCCTCCCTGAATATGACTATAATGTATCGTATACTGATAGATAATGACTATGTGGTATGAAAAGCTATTCTTGAGTGTACCATCCTTGTTTTGTGCAGATTTTTAGGTGCTGCTTGAGGTTATTGGGTGTTGTGGGCAGAGAGAAAGACAGCATGATTTTGCATTATGTAACTGTTCTATGTTCTAAAACCATGTTGTACTGTTCAGTCCCTGAACAGCAGCTGCTGGACATTGAAGACTGCGACCTAAATGTGGTGAGGCTGTGTTTTCAAGTTTTCCTTCCTGATGAACATGGCAACTTGACAACTGCTCTTCCTCCCGTCGTTTCTAACCCAATTTATGATAACCGTGAGTGCTTTAATTTTCTTATGTCTGTACTCTTAGCTTGTTTTATTTCTTTAATTGTTAAAATATTCTAAGAATTTTCTTAATTTGAAAAGGAGTGTGTTAAGTGGGTATAGTGGCTCATGTATGTAATTGTAGCAGCCAGAAGGCTGAGGCAGGAGGATAAAGTCTGAAGGCATTTTGGGTTACACAGTGAGACCTGTCTCAAGAAACAAAATGAAGCCAGGTGTGGTAGCACACACCTTTAATCCCAGCACTCAGGAGGCAGAGACAGGCAGATCTCTATGAGTTTCAGAACAGCCTGGTCTTCATAGTACTAGAGCTAATATAGAGAGGCCCTGTGTCAAATAAATGAATAAACAACAAAAAGAAGCAGTGTTCGTTACAGGAAAAATTCAAACATATATACATACATAAATAAGAAGAGCAGGTCACTGTTAATCCCTCCAGAAATGACCACTGTCCCCTCAAGCACACACCTAAAAAAAGGATCACTCATCTTTTCTAAAACTTTTTTCAAGTCAGTAGTGGTGATTATAGTGCAAGCCTATAGTTATAGCACTTGGGAAGTAGAGGCAGGAAGGTCAGGGGTTCAAAGTTATCCGTGGCTGTGTTTAAGAATCCTGAATTCAAGACCATCCTGGATTACGTGAGACACTGTTTGAAAAGACAAAAATCAAAACTCCACAACTTTCTCTCAGTGGTGGTTCAAAGTTATCCGTGGCTGTGTTTAAGAATCCTGAATTCAAGACCATCCTGGATTACATGAGACACTGTTTGAAAAGACAAAAATCAAAACTCCACAACTTTCTCTCAGTGGTGTACTTGAACCTTTCTCGGTCACATTTTCCCTTTTTGTTTTTCTTTTGAAACAGTGCTGGCAATTGAATGCAGGACATTGGACATGTTGGGCAAGTGCGTAACACTGGACTATACTCCAAGCCCCACTTACGTTTCTAATAACTGCAAATTCTCCTTTTTGTTTTGTTTTGTGTTTTTCAAGACAGGGTTTCTCTATGTAACAACTCAGGCTGTCCTAGAACCCACTTTATAGACCAGGCTGGCCTCAAACTCACCAAGACTGCCTGCCTCTGCCCAAAAAGTGCTGGGATCAAAAGCGTGTGCCACTCTTCCCAGCACATATTTTTATATGACTATATATTAATTTTAAGAAATAATTACCCAGTTAGAGGGTATTTGGTTCATTTCCTTCTTGTTTTCTGTTTGTAAACAAATTATACTAAAATAAATATATGTATGTGTGCATTTTAAAGACATATATCTGTCTTTATGTGGCGGGAGGGTCAGAAGACAACTTGTAGGACTTGGCTGTCTCCTTCCACCATGCATTTCCCTAGGCTTAAACTCATGATGTCAGTCTTGGCAGCAGGCACCTTTACCCACTTAAATATCTCACTGGTCCCTGAATGTCCATATCTTAGGCAAATATTTCTGGCATTTATTTTCAGAAGCATAAATTTTGACCAATACTATATTGGAGGATATAGAAGTTTATTTGAAAAGATTGTAAAAATGTCCTCCAAAACATTTTGGCACACACACTCACCAGGTGTGGGCTACTCCTGTTTTGCATGTAGAATACTGGTCCATAGGAGTATAGAGGTATTCTTATCAGAGAGCCTTGGGTGCCTTGGAAGACTATCATAATAATATTGGGCAGATAAAAGAAAATTGCATTGTCCTAGGGATATAGCTAAAGATATAAAAAGATTAGTCACAATGTGACCTTGCAAGAATTGGGAGGCAGAGACAAGAGAATCGTATATATTCAAAGGCCAGCTAGCCTGGTGTACATAGCAGCAAAAAAACAAAGAGACTGTCTCAAAAGAGGTAGAAATTGAGGGCTAGCAAGTACCTAAGATTGCCCTCTGACCTTCACATATATATCATGATACATGCGTACCTGTGCTTTCACACACTCTCAGATACACCTCAACATACACAAAATATTTACACAAAAATATTTAGTTTCTTTTATCTGTACATTAAAAATTTTCATCTATTCTCTAAGTTATTTTCCTCAAATTCTACCCCTTACAAAATAAAAAAAAATACTTGTACTGGCTAGTTTTATGTCAACCTGACACAAGCTAGGATTTCTCTAGACACAGATAGAGCCTCAATGAGAAATTGTCTCCAGGAGCTCTGGATGTAGACAGGCCTGTAGGGCATTTTCTTAATTAATAATTCATGGGGGAGAGCCCAGGCCATGAGTAAGCCAACCCTGGGCTGGAAGTTCTGGGTTCTATAAGAAAGGCTGAGCAAGCCATGAGGAACACGCCAGTAGTCAGCACTCCTACATGGCCTCTGCATAAGCGCCTGCCTCTAGGTTCCTGCCATGCATGAGTTCCTGTCCTCATTGCTTTTGATGATGAATTCTTACATGGAACTGTGAGTGAAATGAACCCTTTCCTACCCAAGTTGCTTTTGGTCATGGCATTTCATCACAGCAATAATAATAATAATAATAATAATTAAGACAATACTGAGACCCATTTTTTTTAATTCTTTGTATTTAGGTGCCCCAAATACTGCAGAATTAAGGATTTGCCGTGTAAACAAGAACTGTGGAAGTGTCAGGGGAGGAGATGAAATATTTCTACTTTGTGACAAAGTTCAGAAAGGTATTTATCAATTTTGTTTCATTGAATCAGTAATATATTTTTTTAATATATGTATTTTACCTTGTTTCCCCATTGTTACAATTCTTTGGCATCTTATTCACTAGATGATATAGAGGTTCGTTTTGTGTTGAATGACTGGGAAGCTAAAGGTATTTTTTCACAAGCTGATGTACACCGCCAAGTAGCCATTGTTTTCAAGACCCCTCCATATTGTAAAGCCATATTGGAGCCTGTGACAGTGAAGATGCAGCTGCGGAGGCCTTCTGACCAGGAAGTCAGTGAGTCTATGGATTTCAGGTACCTGCCAGATGAGAAAGGTATGGCACCTGGGTAGTGATGTCTATATAAACATATGTAATTGTGTAAGTGCATGCGTGTGCGTGTGTGTGTATGTTTGAAATGGAAACAAAGTCTTAGGTATCCCATGCTGTCTCTGAATTCCTGGCATAGCTAAGGATGAATGGTCCTCCTACCTCCACCTTCTGACTATTGGGAGGACAAACATGTGCTGCTCTGCCCCCCACCCCATCATTTTAAATGGGATGCTAGAGATTTGACTCAGGATTTTATACATATTAGAAGTGCTGAACCAACCGAGCTACATTCTCAGCTCAAGAGTAGATCATTTTCTTAAGCTGATCAGCCTAGTAACATTGTAAAATAAACATCTGAGTGTAGTTTTATATATTCTTATTTTCTTTTCCTAGAAATTTTCAGTTGTGTGTCATTGTCTTTTTTTTTCATGTTCTTTTCATTTCTTAGAATGTTCGAATAATTTGAGAGTTCTTGAACTGTTGGATCATATTTTACATGTATTTTTGGATTTACTTTTTGTACTTATTGTGTGCCCTTTTATAGGTGGAAAGATTGTTAATTAGAAAGTGGTATCTGTTTGATCTATATATTATCAGACCTTATTTTATTAGTTCATTGTGGTGATATCTTTCTTGCACAAATAAAGCCTGTCTGGGGGTCAGAGAATGGAGCTTGCCACTAGCTAACCATGGAGGTCTGGAGGTCTGTACAGACAAATAGGAAGTGATGTGATGTAGCTGGTAGAAACAGGATATAAACAGGGACAAACAGGTAGTCGCTCTCTTCTCTGCGGAGATGCTTAGGAGGTAAGGTGTGGCTGTGGTTTGCTCCTTCTTTCTGATCTCTCAGCATTTCCCATTATATCTGACTCTAGCTTTTATTATCTAGACCAATTAAGAACTCCATTTACAGTTCATGTATTTTTAGGGTAAAAAATGACTATTTTAAGCTCCTTCTTTATTAAAAGAAAAGTGTCCTTACAGCTGGTATAGGATATATTATACAATAATTTACAAATCTATGGTATTCATATATATATGTATATACATATATATATGAATATGAAGCATTTCCATATGCTGATAATGTATATACTCATGGTGGAGGGGGCAGAACCCATGATGATTTACTATTTTTCTGCTTTCCTTTTTAATCAGATGCATATGGCAATAAATCAAAGAGACAAAAAACAACTCTACTTTTTCAGAAACTGCTACAAGATTGTGGTAAGAATATTTTGGATTGATTTATTTACTTGCTTTATTCTGTTTTAAATTTAATTATAAGTTATTTTTTCAAATTACATTTAATAATAGAAAAACTTTATTAAATGCAGCTAACTTTCCAGAGAAACCAAGAACTGCCCCCCTGGGGTCAATTGCAGAAGGACGATTCATTAAAAAAGGTATTTTATCCCTATTAAATACCGTCATTCCACTTTTTAGAAATACGTGCTTTTTAAATATTTTTATTTTCTACAAAATTTCTCATGCTTTCAATATTGAATTGAGCTGGTCTATGCCTCTGAATGTTGGGTGGGAAACTGGTTATATTTATTGTTCAAGAAATTTAGTTCATACACTGGTGTCTGAGCTAGGGCTTCTATTGCTATGAAGAGACACCATGATAATGGCATCTTTAATAAAGGAAAGCATTTAATTTCAGAACTCTGGTCCATTATCTTCATGGTGGTATGCAGGCAGCCACAGTGCTAGAGATAGACCTGAGAACTCTGCATCCAGGCAGCCACAGTGCTAGAGATAGACCTGAGAACTCTACATCTTGATCTGCAGGCAGCAGATCACTGGGCGTAGCTTGAGCATATGAGATTTCAAAGCCTACTCCCACTCCAGCAAAGCCACACTCTTAATAGTACCTCTCCCACGTATTCAAAACATACGAGTCTATGAGGCCATACCAATTCAAACCACCACAACTGGTAATTGTCCTAACTGCACTGTGTCATGGAAGAAATGATGTGGATATAGTAGGCATTTGTTGTTGCCTTTTTAAAATGGTGCTGCAGTAGGACCTCAGGCATGCTGACCACTTGCTGTCACACACAGTGCACTCCAGACCTAGACTCCCTGTTTTTCTTCTACTACAGCAACAGAGTTGAGTAGTCCAACAAAGGCTGCTCACCCCACAGATCTTAAAACTATTGGCTTTTGATAGAAGATATTTTATGAGCCCCTGATAAATTTTCCATCTTCTTTCCTTAAATTGTCCTGGTTTATACAGTACTTGTGTAATATGTCAAAAATATAACTTTCTGTGATAGGGAATTTTATAGTACTTTAGGGTTATATCTTAATTAGTCTTAATAACTGTATTTTTCAGTTTTTCCTAATGAATGTATTCTCTTTCTCTCCATTTTCTCTTAGAAGTAGAGACTATAACATGATGTTGGATACCTGTTTACTGGAATTCCAATATTTATCTTCTATGTTTTAAAATGTACCTACATGGCTCAAGAAGCTAGATTTTCATATTTAACTGGAAGAATATTACATACACCAAGATAACTTTTAAAAATCATTTTCATGTATTTATAAAGCAATTTACATGTTTTGAATTTAGTTTTGAATTCATGTAATAATTTTTGTGCTTTAAATTTTTTTTAATTTGAAATATATCAGTTCCCAGGAAAGTTTTTAGTGTTTTTTTATAATCTCAATTCAGAAATGATGCTTTACATTAATTTGTTCATCTTAATTTATAAAATACATTTTTGTTCTACAGAATCAAATTTGTTTTCTCATGGTACATCTATGCCAGAAATGCCCAGGTCTTCAGGAGTTTCAAGTCCAGCTGAACCCTACTATTCTTCATCTGTGCCCATATCAAGTGGATTGCCACATCACCCACCAGCCATAGCCTCAGTGGTCTCTCCGCCTACAAGCTGGTCATCAGTGAGCCACCCCACCTCACGCTCAGCCAGTACAAATACATTGAGTAGTTTCTCAGCAGGAACACTTCCCTCTAATTCACAGAGTATCCTTCCATTCCTAGAAGGGTCTAGTCTGAGCGATTTAAGTGCTTCTAATGCTTGCCTTTATACTGATGACCTAGCTAGAATGGAAGCGTTATCCATGTCACCAGCTGACTTATATAGTATTTCTGATGTCAACATGTTATCTAGTCGCCCTGTGAATGTGATGACAACAAACAATGATAACATGGGGGACACTGATAATCCAAGACTTATGAGCATCAATCTTGAAAACCCCTCATGTAATTCAAGGTTAGACCAAAGAAACCTGAGACAACTACATCAGATGTCTTCTGCCAGTATGTCAGCAGGCACCAGTTCTGATTCTGTTTTTGTTTCACAATCAGATGCATTTGATAGATCAAACTTCAATTGTGTAGAAAATGGCCTTATAAGTGAGCCTGGACCATCAAATGATGCAAATAGTCATAATTTTGTTCAGAATAGTCAATATTCAAGTATTGACACTCTGCAAAGTGAGCAATTGAATGATTCCTTTGCATATGGTTTTCTTTAAATGTAACTTGTAGGACTTAAATCTAAAAGACTATTAAAAACTTTAGGTGTATAGAATTTAAAGAGGACATTCAAAAATAGAAACTTAAAAGAGCTGTACTGTTTCTTACTTTGAAAGATGCCTAAAGTACACATGCTTGATGTGAATTGTTCTTTCATATTTCCTCAAGACAAGCTATGTGTCTTTTGTAATGTATTAATGTACTAGTTAAATGAATTGATATTTGCTTTCAAGCAGATTTAAGGTAAAACATGTAATGGCTATGCCATTGGGAAATAAACTCATTATTATTATTGTTGAGGCCCATAGGCCAAAGTGACCCCTGTGGGGTTTTCTGGGGTTTCTTGCTATTTTTAGGTAGGTGTGAGTGTGTGTGTGTGTGTGTGTGTGTGTGTGTGTGTGTGTGTGTGTGTGTAAGAGAGAGAAAACACTGAAGTGAGCTTTCAAGGGATGAAAGTTTTTTTGCTATTTTATATTATTTAGACTCATACCTCTAAAGTTACTTATGAAATTAGCTGTATATTTGTATTTTCAAGAAAAAGACATTTTCTTGAGCCTTTATTAGATTCCCTCATTCTCTTTAATCTCATAAAACCTGTCTATTTCTCTATCAAGAATCTAGCCAGAAGTTCTGGCACATGCCTATAATCTCCCTGCTTAATAATACAAGTTCAAGGCCTGCCTGGGATACATAATCAGTTCAATACCAGCTTGGGCAGCTTATGAAAATTTTGTCTCAAAAATAAAACAGCTAAGGTTGTGACTCAGTGGTAGAGTTTGCTTAACGTTTCTAAGACCTTGTGTTCAAGCCCCTATAGAGGGAAAAAGTAAAAAATAACAAAATTTAAGTTTTTAACTTTTCCCCCAGACTTGCTTGTCCTTCAGTCTCACCAGCCCTGGAAATTGTCATGCTGTGATTCTAGTTGCTTAGGCAAAAACCTTGATGTCACCCTTGATTCATCTCCTAAATCTTTCAATGCAGCAGCAAATCCAGAAGACCTTTCCTCAGTATATATTGGAAGCAAACTGCCTCAGGTTTTACATCACTCAAGCTGACTTCAAACCTGCTATGTAGTCAAAGATAGCCTTGGTCTTCAAGTTACAAGTATGTACCACCACACCAAGTTTATGTGGTCTAGGTATCAGAGAGAGGGCTTTGCTTGGAGAAGTGACTACCAATTGAACTCCATGTAATTTTGTCTTAGTTGGCACTGATTAACTCAGACTCAACTGTTAGAAAGCTCAGCAGATGTTACATACACATTGACTTATTTCAGCTTTTCTTCTAAGTTGGACTAAGGTATGTGTTTATATTTTCAAATGATATTTTATTTCCGAGTACTGTTTACTGATCACAGAACTCATTTTATAATTTGCAATGCGTCCATCCCTGTTTCCCCTTTCTTCCTAGTTGAATTTGTATTTCACTTGGTTTTGAGGGAATGGGCCTTCCTTCCCAAACTCCACCTTGTGCACTACATCTTTCCCCATTGCCAGTGTCCTCACATCCTCACTTAGTTCATGCTTTCATTGTACAAATAGAACAAATATCTTTTTGAGATTAAACAGAAAGGGTGAAAACATCCCCCAAGGGACCAAACCCTACCTGAATCATGCCTCTTCTTTCCACCCCTTAACCTTTAAAGTGCCATGCCTCTTCTTGACACCTCTGTGTCCCTCCTTCCCCTGCCCATCTCTTGGTTTAGTTCCTGTCCCTTGTCAAATGCCAGGTCTTTTTTTTTTTTTTTAATCAGTGTTACTCTACGTGATTTTCCTGTCCAGTCTGTTGTGTATTGACCAGGTGTGTCTGTGATGGACAGGGTCCCCTCACTTCCTAACCCCAGCTTTCAAAGGCTGTGTGCTCTCTTACCAGTACCAGTCTCTGCTTTCTCTCCTGCTGCCTTCTCTTACACTCTACTTTCCTAATGGTGTTACTGCTGACACCAGAGTGTCTTCCTCAATTCATACAGTCCTTTTGAGTCTGCCTACTAATAGTCTCTTGGATTTGTCCCTTCCATTACTGGAAATGTTTCCATTCTTTTTCTCCAATGGATATCTTTTCATATGTTCATGTTTGTTTGTTTTATATTTTAAATAGCCCATCCCTCTTATACTTTGTGGTTGGAGCATGTTGGTTTCCCCCTCAGGTCTCCATATATGTAGCTCACTCTGGCTATGCTCCTAATATTTTTCCCTTCAACAGCTGGCTTCTCTGCAGGGTTTGGTCCTGCGGCCACAGCTGAGGTGCAGCATATCTGGGACTCCAGCACTTGACATAGACTCTGGCATAACTGGTACAGAATAAATGGTAGCTATTTGTTAGAGAGAGGAAGATGATTATAAGATCATATTTGAGGATATAGTTTTTAATGGGAAAATAGTGGTGCCAAGATGGCCCATCTTGTGAGAAACACTTTTCTTCCTGCCAGCTGTCTCACTCTTCTTTAATAAACATGCAGCGATTACCCATAGATTCATGGTACAGCACAGCCCTATATTTGATACCCAGAATTGTAACAACAAAAAATTAAGTACAAAACAAAAGTGTAATAACCACCCTGAGGCCCTTTGAGACCCATGGCAGCTCTCTTGGAAATCGCAGTGCCAACAGTATCAAGTAGAAAGGCTGCCTCTGAAGTGGCAGCTTAAATCTCAAGTACCCCATGGCAGGTTACCCTGCAGAGACATTTCAGTAGCCAGTATTCATGTAATAAGTCATATGACAGTTTGTTACTCTATATTGTACAGGGTACTGTATTCTGTAGAAAACCAGCGGTGAGTGAGATTCAACTCTTGTTCTCAGAGAGGTTTGTTTTCTCATGAGGAGTCACACATATAACCAGCCACATAAATATGGACAAGCTTTTAGCTATAATCTGGAGAACTTTTTTTTGTGTGTGCTTCTCTGAATTATATTCTTTTTTTTTTTTTTTTTTTTTACATGATCCCAGTTCCCTCTCCCTTCCTCTCTCCTTCCTTCCTCCCTCCCTCCCTCTTCCCTTCTCTCCCTCCTCACATGCACTCTGACCACCGTCCCCTCCCCTACCCCCACCCCAATTCCACATGTAGGGCAAAGCCATCCAGGTAGGGTCATGTAAATCTGTCAATTCATTTGAAGTAGGGGCTAGGACTTCTCTCCTGTCTCTAGGTTAAGAGAGTATCCCTCCATGGGGGATGTGCCCACAAGGTCCTTTTGTGCACCAGGAATACATCCTGGTTCCACTGTCTGAGGTCCCTTAGACTGCTCAGTCCTTCTGGCTGAGATCCATATTCAGGGGGGCCTGAGTCAGTCCCATGCTGGATTCCAAGCTATCAGTCTGGGGACCTGTTAGCTCCTCCTTGTTCAAGTCAGCTGTCTCTATGTGTTTCTGCAACCTGGTCTTGTCCTCTCTCTCTGCATCTCGATTCTAGTTCGACTCAAGGGTTTAGTTATGGGTGTTTGCTTCTGTTTCCAACAGGTACTAGGTAAGGGCTCCATGATGGTGAATAAGTTAGTTGTTGATCTCACTATCCGGGAAGGGCATTTATGGTAGCCTTTCCACCATTGCTCAAATTGTTAGTTGGTGGCAGTCTTGTAGGTCTCTAGACCTTTCTTTAGGCTCAGTTTTCTTTTCAAACCAATAATGGCTCCCTCTTTTATGTTTGTTCTCTCTCTCTCTCTCTCTCTCTCTCTCTCTCTCTCTCTCTCTCTCTCTCTGTCTCTCTCTCTGTCTCCTGTCTTCTATTCCTACCCTGACTCAATCTTCCTAGTCGCAAGTGCTTTTCTCTCCTCCCCTTCTCTTTCTCCTACTTCTCTCTCCATTCACTGCCCCCCCCCCACTTCCCATGTGCTCTGGGGGACTTGTCCCATCCCCCTTCTGTGAGGGACTTTATATGAACTTTTATTTATGTAAAAGCCATGTAACCACCATGTTTGAGACCCTAGGCTCTCATCAGGCCCTCCAAACCACTATTCTGGTTCTTGTTATCAGAGCTTGCTGAGTTATTATCCTAACAGCCTTTACTTGGCTAATTGATTCCCTACTAAAAAGTTTGGTGTACAGAGGAACTGGGTTGTCCATTTGTCTTAATATGCTTTGCCATGTTTCAACTGACTCAGAAAAACTGTTTCCCATGGTGAGACTTGAATTGGTGATACAGGCTATCTAATTGTACCATGTTTTAATCATAAATTGATATATTGATAAATTATTATAAGCTATCATATATCTATCAGACAGCATGGAAAATATAAATAAGGGAGACTGTTTTTAGTCAGCCTAGATGGCTGTGGTGTTACTGGCTTGCAATCATAGATATTCAGGCAGTAAGATCACAAATTCAAGGCCTGTGCCCAGTCTACCGAATGAGTTCATGGGAATAACCTTGTGAGTGCTGGAGAGGGTTCAGTGGTAGAACAGCTAGCATGTATAGCCCTAGATTCAGTGTCCACCCCCAGAAAAACAAAAACCTGGCCCTTGTCTTTCCCAGGCTGTGTTTGTACTAACTAATGTCTGGGAAGAAACACTATAAATTACAAAGTGTGAGTCAAAGATAGCAAACCAACAGCTCTGTTTCTCACATGACTCCGATTAGCCTACTGTCCAAACATTCCTAGTCACTCAATACCCAGCAGAAAAAAATCACAGGGGATTTGGGAGAACTTTGGGTCCTTATTGAGGGAAATATCAGTTACTGGATTTACTTTAGAAAATTATGACTCTTGATTTCTCTGTAAAAATTGAGCTTTTAATTGGGAGTGCTTTGACTTATGAAGCTGCCTCTGCAAGGTGTCAGGTTTGTTTTCAGAGGCTGGATGTGCAAAGAAGAGTCTAGAATGCCTTTGTATCCTATACATGAAAAGGCCTGTGCTACCCTCTTAAGCCCAGCAATGGGCCAAGGGATGAGATGAAAGCATCTCTTAAGTTTATCCAGGTCCATCCCTTTAAGGCATACTCACATGAATATTTGAACTGAACACCACGGCAGGATTTACAGTGCAAGGTTAACAGCAGATAAGGTCAAATCTCAAAAGTAATATCTAATTGCAAAAATAATAAATACCAAAAACCTACTCATGTCCTCACCATCTTTTTGTCATATTTTGTTATTTTATTTTTGCTTTTTCAAAACAGGGTTTCTCTGTGTAACATCTCTGGCCATCCTGGAACTCACTCAGTAGACCAGGCTGTCCTCAAACTCACAGAGATCCTCCTGCCTCTGCCTCCCGAAGATTGATAGTACAGTAGTTACTACTCTGCATTGTGTCTCACAGTCTTTTTAATAGACAAGATGTAACCTTTTAATAAATAACCATTCTCTTCTAAGGATGGCCCTAGGGCAGTTGCCTCCTGTCACCAGTTATTTAAAGGGGC